AGGTTCTGGAAATGTCTTTTGCAAGCTGCCATGCTCTGATTACTAAATGGTGGCTGTTACTAGGTAAAATTTATCTTATAGTCAGAGCAGTCATTTCATTGGATTGGGTCTACAAGGCAGCCTCTGAAGTAGCCATTTACATTTCTCTTATGATCTCTCAGATCTCTTCAGTGGGGTGTGGCAGGAATGACTGACTTGTGTAATCAACTTTTACAGGGTGTATGGCTGAGAGGAAGGTTTGGATTGGAGAGGTGAACCTGATGTTCTAAGTGTATAAAACTATGAAAGTACAGTATATCAGTGTTTAGGAGGCTGCATAAACTGAAGAGAAAATGAAAACAGTGCCAATTTTTAACAGTTGTGTGGAAAATGAGCAAAGACAGAAGAAAGGGATAATAAGATAAACAGAAAAATCAGGAGTATTTGATATTACAGAGGGTTTATTTTTTATGGACTATTGGTTGTTTTTAATTCTTGCAATAATATCTTTATATGTTTTAAATTATCACAGATGAACCTATCTCTGTCGGATAAAATACCCAGAAGTAGAATAGGTGGGTAAGATATATACCTCAATTTTAAAATTTCAAAGTATTTATTTTCAAAAGAAAATGTCACTTAAAGATCCCACAAAACATATTTAACATGGCATTTGATAGGACTCATTAAATAAAATTTCTACATTCCTATAATGTGATACACTATAGTCATAACAAAGAATGACACTGTAATATATTTTTATATGAAAGAAGAGGGAGAAAGTCTTATTCCTTCACAATCGAATTATTTGAATTCTGTACCATTTGTAAGTATTATCTTTATTTTAAACTCTTATTTTATACCTCAATTTAGTAAATGAGCAATCTGAAGATCAATTTGCCTTTTATTTCCAAGAATAATGCCCACAGGATTCTGATAGACTTTTGCATATCTGGATTTTGCTCTACAGAAATACCCCATTAGATATTCGGTGTTATGAAACCGTGATCCAGAGAATTGCTGTAAATGTGGCAAAGATCTGAATACTTAAAGTTCATGCTTTTCTTGAGTTCAAGTTATACATTTTGGAATTATTTTTCCCTGTTTATTATTAGTGAAGAAATTTGCTTTGCTGTATTTACTTCAGAGATGTCTTCAGACTTCACTATCACTACCCTCTCACTTCTCCAGAACATATCACTGAAGACAGAATGAGTCACATCAAATCGAGAGATAATTCATTTTTTCTGTATTGAAAGTATTGATCATCATATACGTTTTTCCTTTTGTGTGTGTTACTGGAGATTGAATTCAGGGGTTTTCCACTGAGACACATTCCCAAGCCTTTTTATTTTTATTTTGAGACAGGATCTCACTATTTGCTGAATTTCCCAGGCAGGTCTTCAACTTGCGATCCTCCTGTCTCAGCCTCTGAGAGTGCTGCGATTACAAGCATACTCACCAGGTCATATATGTTTTGTTTCACTTTAAGCAGGGCAATACAAAGTACCATTTCCAAAACTACCTTGACTAATAACTTCAGTTTTCTAGAATTAGATGGCCTATTTTTGAGCAATATTGAAAATAGATTGCTTATTTCTTTACTAAGAATAATACTAAATATATTCTTAAATCTGTTTCCAAAATTGAAGGAATCTACTAATATGTAATAACTATCTAGAATAAGCCTGAACATAACTCTAGTATTCTAGTTCTCCAACTACTAAAACTGAGTTTCCAGACTTTTAAAGACTATACATATATATATTTTTAAGTGATAAAATGGGAAGACTATGAGTACAGAACATACCTTGGCCATGTATATTCATGCTCAAGAAATCAGATTCTGATCTACCTTCCTTGACATACACCCTTCTGTCCACCTTTATAAACACAGTATTTTTTCAAGAACTGCAGGGAAAGAACAATGACCTACGATTTAAGTCTTGATTCTGTCATACCCTCTGCAAGACATTCTGTGCTTCAGGTTTGGGTCCTGAAAAAAAGGAACCAGGCCTGAGGTTTCTTCTAACTTTGACTGTCTTTATATCATTTGTATCTAAGGTTGTTGGCTCAAGCATCTAGAGTTTTAGGTGACAGAAGAAAAACTAGATTGGACTACTGGCCCCATGTTTTTTTTTTTATATTTTAATATGGATTTTTTTCTTTTCTTGAAATCTAATTAGTGTGATTGTTTGGATTATCTTTACTCGTAGCAAATACTTTCATTTTCTCTTGTGTGTGTCTCTACAAAGAGAGGCAGAGGCAAGGCTAATGGGAACTGAGATAGTATTAATCAATTAATTAATCATATCATTACAATGTATGTATATCTAAAACACTTATATGTGTTTGCAGTACATGCACTTTACACTCACCTTGGGGAGTGGGTACATGTGCGTAATACAGCTTGGTTCTTTCTTGTTTTTAAATCCCCTTCTCCTTCTTTCCCAACTTGCTCCCTCCTCTTCTAGATACCTTTCTCCATTTTTTCTTGTTATATTATTGATCTTATCTCATGTTTATGACATATGATGCTCACATTCATTGAGGTTATTAGGTTATTTTTTTTTTTTTTTTGGTTTTTCTCCGGTACCGGGAACCGAACTCACGACCTTCCGCTTGCCAGGCAGGCACTTTGCCACTGAGCTAAATCCCCAGCCTGAGGTTATTAGGTTCTTATACATGGCGCATCCTTATATCACTTATTTCCCCTCCCCCCTCCTCTCATCTATGTTCTGTTGGACCCCTTCCCATTTGCAAGAGATCTGACCTTTTGTCTCTTTCTATCTGTCCTTTTATGTGTTCTTTGTACTTTGCTTCATTCAAATGAGAGATGCCAAACACTATTTAAACTTGTGTGTCTGACTTATTTCACTCAACATATTTTCCAGGTGTATCCATTTTCCTACAAATGTCTCAAATTTATCATTCTTTATAACCCAGTATTATTCCATTATGTATAGATACCATATTTCTTTATCCAATTATCTGTTGAGGGATACACAGGCTGCTTCCAGGATTTAGTTATTATGAATTGTGCTCTATAATTATTGATATGCATGTATCACTATGGTATGATTTCTTTAGCACTTTGGGACAGATACCTAGCAGGGGAATATATGGATCATATGGAATTTCTAATTTTAGTCCTTTGAGGATTATTTTTATTGATTTTCATAATGGTTGTACTGGTTTACATTCCCCCAACAATGTAGGAAGGTTCATTTTTTTACCACAGCCTTCCCACCAGCATTTGCTATTTTTTTGATTTCTTGATGATTGTCATTCTTTCTGGTTTAAGATAGAATCTTGGTATTGTTTTAATTTTCATTTCTCTAATGGCCAGAGATGTTGAACGTTTTTTCTTATACTAGTTGGCCATTTGCATTTCTTCCTCTAAGAATTATCTGTTCTTTCACTTGCCCATTTCTTGACTGGGTTTTTAAATTTAGGTGCTCTATTTTTCTAAGTTCTTTGTATATTCCAGGTACAAGTTTTCTTTCTGGGGAATAGCTGGCAAATTATTTTTTTTCCATTCTGTAGGTCATCTCTCCACTCTACTGATTGATACCTTTGCTGTACAGAAGCCTTTTAATTTGATCTAATCCTGTTTGTTGATTATTGCCGTTATTTCTTGCACAGTTGTATTTCTATATAGGAAATCCTTTTGTACACATATGGCTTCAAATGTTTTACTTATTTTATCTTCCAATAGGCTCAATTTTTCTGTTTTAATGTTTGGATATTTACCCATTTTGATTTTAGTTTGGTACATGTTGACAGATATGGGTCCAGTTTCAAACTTTTGCAAACAAGATATCCAGTTTTCCCAGTACCATTTGTTGAATAGAGTATCTTTCCTCCAATGTATGCCTTTGACCCTTTGTCAAAGATCAAATAACTAAATGTGTCTGGGGATGTTTTTCTATCCCCTGTTCTGTTCCACTGACCTACATATGTGTTTCTATTCCAGTACAATGCGATTTTTATTACTGTTGGTTTGTAGTATAGTCTGAGGTCAGGTAACATGATGCCTCCTGCTTTGCTTTTGTTGCCCAACATTGCCTTTTCTATTGCATGTCTGTTCTTGGCTGTATATGAAGCTTAACATTGTTTTCTTTGGTTCTGTGATGAATGCTGTTGGTATTTTGATTGGGATTACACTGAATCTGTATAATAATTTTGTGAGTATGGCTATTTTGACTATATTGATTCTGTCTATCCAGGATCATGGGACATCTATCTATTTTCTGAATGTCTTTGTCAATCTCCTTTTTCAGAGTACTATAGTTGTCTTTGTAGAGGGCTTTTGCTTCCTTGGTTAGGGCAATACCTAGGTATTTCATTTTTCTTGACACTACCAAGTATGGTATTTTTAAAATAATTTCCTTCTCATTGAGTTCATTGTTGGTGTATACAAATGCCATTGAGTTTTGCATGTTGATTTTGCATCATGCTACACTACTGAGGTTGGTTATTAATTCCATGAGTTTTGGGGTGGAATTATTTGTGTTTTCTATGTAGAGTATAATGTTATGTGATATGAACTCAAATTAATTATAATAATTTGAATTCTCCTTTCCTGCACACATCCTTTATCTTTCTCTTGTGAGATTGCTCTGACTGTTTTGCTCTAATGTTTTGAGTACTGTGTGGAATAGAAATGGTGATAGTAGGCCCCAATTCTTTACTCTTATTCTTGTTGTGGCTTCCGATATCCTCATCTTGTCATGGCTTTGATTTTTTTTTTTGTTTCTTGATTTTGGGTCTGGGCCTATGGATTTACTGTGACCAGTGGGACATGACAAATTTAGGGACTCTCAGTACACTTGAGCGGTGGGGCTCAACCTGTTGCACCTCTGCTATCACCATGCTCTGGCTATTCCTTTGCCCCAAAGGGGATGATGAGACACGAGCAGCTGACATAGACCTCTGACCTATAGCAGGAAGCAGAGCTGCCTTTCCCAACCTTCATAACCATTAGAAAAACGATTGTCATTTTAAGTCACAACATTTGGAGTGGTTTATTATTCAGCGTTATTATGGCAATAGCTAACCATTGCAAAAAGAAGGCAACAAGAACTCAAGGAAAGAGAAAATGAAAGGGTGAGGGCAAACAGAGAAGAGGCATAAAACAGCAGATAGAGTAACTCCTTTTAAATTCAACTGGTCTCTTCAATAAACAATATGTCGACCATTATTTCTTATTATCTTATAGTTAATGGCTTAAAATATTTTATAAAATAAGGGTTTATAACAGAGTTCTCTCAGTAAGGTAATCCAACATCTCAATCTTCCCAGATCATTTTGTTAGTTTACGTCATTGTTTAGATGTATATTTAGTTTCTTTCACTCTCAAAAGTAGCCTGATTTAGATAATAAATTATACACTCACTACTTAGAAGCCCTGTTGATCTATCTTGGAACACTACATGGTCAATCCCCAAGTTTGCTGCCATAACAGGACCAGCCTGTGGCCCAGCAACAATTCTTATCATGCCTTATTTGGATCACAGGGATTTCTGCTTCTTGGTGGTCTCCTTTCTTTTTAGCTATTTGAGGAAATATAAAGAAACTCATAATTAGAAAAAGGTTTGGTGCCCCTCAATCTTAACCATAGTTTCAAATAAGCTTCCACTATTTACATGATGACATAAACTGTATGAATCGTTGCACAATTTTTCATTGGCAGAAGAGTGTGATCCACTTTCTGTTGCCCATTCATAGAGGCCCTAGTCCACAGACATAGAGAAGTACTCTTTTATTTGGTGGCGGGTACTGAGGATTGAACTCAGGGCCTATGCACAGAGCTACACAGCCAGTCTTCTTTATTTTTTGAGGCAGGGCATTGCTGCGTCACTAATTTTCTGAGTTTGAACTCAAACTTGCAATCTTCTTGTCTCAGCTTCCCAGAGTCCTGGCATTACAGCTGTGTACCATCATATTCAAAGAGTAAAAGTACTTGGTGTTTTTTGGAACACAGCAAGATGACCCTAAAGGTTCATACCACTATCATCTCACCCCTGAAGTCCCATTCCCTCCAGGTGAAAAATGGCAGGGAAGCAGAATCCAAAGTCTCATCCTGCTATTCATTAGAAATGGCAGCCAGACAATTCCTAGAGGCCTCAATCCTAAAGAACTTGTCTCTTCAGAGCCTACACTTCCCCATGCTGGCCCGGAGCATAAGTACTCCCTCTATGGGAGTTCCAGGGTTTTCAGCCATCTTCTGCCAAAGCCTTTGCTCTTCCCCTCGAGAGTCCATCCAATCCACGTTTTTTCCAAGACTCACACCTGAAGAAAGGAAAGCAGAGTGGTACATCTCACAAATGAAGTGTTTTGACTTTTTTGAAGGCATCTCAATTTTTGAGGTGGTCCCTTAACCAGAGTTCCCTTCACTGGCTTGTTCTCACTTCCCATATCTACTACATGAGACTAGCATGGAATCAATCCTTTGCAGCCTATACTACTTTCTTCTGCCTAGAAAATGTGAGACAAATTGGTAGCTAATCTCTCCTCACTTTGGTACTACAGCAGAGAGCTGGATCATCTGGGTCAAGGTAATATGACAGCAAAACAGGATGACATTTGATCTGAGGATCTCTAAACATGGTCACTTTTCTGGCCTGGGAAATTTTAGTTTTAGTAGGATGGCTCTTCTTAGCTTTCCTTAGTCTATAAATAGATAAAGCATCACAGTAGTGGTGGGTGACTTTCTCAACATAAATGCTGACCATGGTACATGCAGACCATCTGTATCTGGCCTAAGCTATGAGACAAGGAGTATTTGGAGGACTGCATATGCCTCTCCTAGTTCTCATGTGCTTTAATACTGCACCCTGCCTTTACCCTTTTATACCTGTGACTTTGGTTACTGATGGTGTGTTTCCATGACCTGTGTGAAAAACATTTGATATTTATTTTTTTAAAGAAAGAAATTGATTCCCTTTCAATTCAACCAGTGTGAGTAATGTCTGTAAATGCTGAACAGAGCCAAGATAATTAGGTAAAGTTGGTCTTGGAAAGCTCTCTCTCTCCTATCAGAAAGCTATGCTATCTTGGTGGTCCTTTTCTTACAAAGCCTGAAGGCCATGAAAGTATCTGAAATTCACTTAGACTGAAGTATAAAATTTTTTTGGAGGGAGTGAAAGGACTGAACAGAAATTGTACTTCTTAAGCTTCTAGCTTAAAGATACAAAGCTATAGTAGTAATATTCATATTTTAACAATGAACAGATCTTTAGCTAAGGGAATGGAGTATCTGTGATAATTTCAGGCATCAGTTATAGCAGAAACTACATAGACATCTACTGCACCCGACATCTGGAGGAATCATGCCCTCGCCCCATGCCCAGTCATGGACCATCTCAGAGTCTCCAAGTTTCTCACCACTTCCACAATTCAAACGAACTCCTCCTAGAAAGATGTTGCTGGCAAAGGCCTCCTTGTCCCAGACAGTAAGCTCGAGACAAACGTTGTTTATATCTTGGGGATACAACCCACTGAATATGAAAGTATGATTCCACTGAGGGTTTACACTCTTTTTTATGACCACAGTTTTGTGCTTGGTGGCTTTGCTATCATCAGGGAGCAGGTAGCTGCAGGAGAAAACATGATCAAACCATCAGTGAGACAGTACACAGAAAATGCCATTGTTCAGAAATCATTTGACTGACTCATACTTCCTGGTATGTGTGTGCATGTGTGCATCCATATGTATTTGTAAGTGCAAGTATGACATGTTTATCTAATTTTCTCTCCCAGGTTCTTACATGTTTAAAAAATTATTTACTTTGTGGAGCAGCTTATTGTTTCTTTTAAGTGGGGTAACAGTAAAAGGTCTTTGCTCTACTTTCTAATTCTATTTTGGCTTTTCTCCCACCTTGAGAAGAAAATACCTCCTGTGGTAGATACTGCTGAATGTCCTGGTTTGTATCTTCTTGGGGCAGTTCAGAGCTGACCTTCAGCCAGTATGGACAGTCCTGGCACGCTTTCAGCTTTCCATCTCAAGCACCCATATGTCTCAGCCTCTCCAGTTAAAGACTTTCTTTGGTCCTGTGTGATTTGGTTCAGTTTTTATGCAGAGAATCCAGGAATAACTGAAGATTTAATGGTAACCCTCAACCATGAATTTTGGAAATTAGTGAATGAGTCCCACGGATTCTCTTCCTCGAAGGGACAGTCCTAAGGAATATTCCACAGAGTTCTTCATGGCCTCCCCAGTGCGACGAATACCTGGTTACCCACTTTGGTAACTTGTCCATTAACATATTTTTATCATCTTCTCTTCCTCTCCTGTCTCTTTTCCACTCTCTCACTGGTGATTCCTGGTCCTCTTTAAAAATGAAATATCTGCACCCTAGGCCTTCTCTACTATAGCCAAAACACTGTATTGGCTTGCCAGGTACATGACGAATACTACTCTTTTCCCCCTGAAAGTAGCAAGCTTTAGGGAAGGGGTGAGATAGGTGTATGAAATCAGAACATCAGACAATAATGAGAAATATTGCAAGTAAGTGACTTTACAATGTAGAAGATACATTAGGCTACATGAGATATTATGTCACGCACCATGCACAGGTACTTATAATCTCCCAATATCCATTTCTGCTTATTTTTCTCAGTACAAACTTCCTATTATTAAAATGTGGTCACAAGCTTGTTCAGAATAAAGACTACCTTATCGTAGCCTTCCTCACAACTAGTAGGGCCATATGACTAAGTTGTAATCAATGGGAGTAAAGTAGTTCTGCATAAAATTTATGCAAAGGTACACTACCAGCTGGAATTTGGGTGGAATAGCTGAAATCTGAGCAGCTCTGAGGTAGATACCATAATGAGATAGAGAAAATCTTTGTTTCTGATTATCATGATGCTTCCATACCTTAAGTCTTTGTTTACATGTAAGAAATAGAAAAAAGGTAGGAGGTTAAAGAAGGAGGATCACAAGTTCAAGTCCAGCTTGGGAAAGTTAGTGACTTAGCAAGATCCTGTCTCAAAATAAAAAATAAAAAAATAAATATTTGGAGATGTAGCACAACGTGAAAGCGCTGGATTCATCCTTGATTACCACAGTAAAAGGTTTAGTCTTTTGAAGTCACTGTTATTTTAGCTTATAGACAGGATTGATGTAATTAAGACGTGGCAGGATGGCCAAAAAGTTGGTGTGACTTGTTAATCACAAAGATCTAGGACACATGCATGGAACAGTTCCCAAAGCCCTGCATATGGACATCTCTTGAGAATTCAAGGAGTTTGGGATAGGAAAGCCTAGACCTGACATCAGCCTGAGGAGTGGAAGCTATTAAAAGATAGTCTCCATTGAGCTCAGGATTATTGTGTTTTTTCATCATAGTACATCCTCATTCTGAAGAGTGTGCCTTTTTTCTTACTTTTACTTGGCCCAAACTTACTCTGTAGAGTATGCTTCTTTTCTTATCTTTAATAGGTGTAAAACCTCATTACCATTTGTGCTTGCTTGACCAAATCTGCTAAGAATAGAATCTACCTCCAGAAACAGACTACAGCACCCCAAAACTCAGTAACAAATTGACTCAAAAAATTCACTTCCTGGCCTGAAATCATGGAAACTTGCCTTACCTTATGTGCCCTATGGGTTCTGTGAACTCCAGTATCATGGCTTATTTAGTTCGGCAAGTGTAGCACCTGGTACTTTGTATGTATGCATTTGTCTGTTTGTCTTTTTTTGCTTGTTTTTCTTTTGTTTGTTTGAATAAATGAAAAAATATCTGTCCACTCCTAGTCTCCCTAATTCCAGGAGAAAAATCTCCAATAGTCAGAAACCAAGAGGAATTCTGTTTTTGAGTTGCAAAAGATGAGCATGATTATCACTTTAAAGGGCTGTAGGCCCTCAAGAAGATGCCTGTGCTTCCACAAAGTGGGAACAAATGCCCAGCAGGCAGTCCTGGAGCCTCCTCAAAGCACTGAATATCTCTAAGACAAGTGTTCCAATTTCTTTACATTTTACAGTTTCCCTCAAGAGAGCAAAACTGCAAGTATCCTTTATTTTGGTTGTCTTTCTCTATTGGCAGAACCAAATGATAACAAAACATAATGCAAGTACATTACATGTAGAAAATCATACTTTCTCCTTTGAAAAATGAGTGTCATAGGAAAACTTGGCAGTGTTGAGGGTGAGAGTGAGAGGCACTCCCAAAATATGCTAGAAATGCAGCATAAGCTAGAATAAGCAGTTCCTTCTACACAGGAGCTGTTTGAGATGTAAGAGTCATCACTTAAGGGTAGCTCTTTCCCAGTGCATTTCCAGTAAGCTGAACATGGAGGCCTCACAGCCACCACTGTCTCATGGATCACAGATCCTTTCATCTCTCAGCAAGCATGATCTGAAATGAGCTAAAATAGAATTACCCCTTCACAAAGCTGTCAGAAGTGCCTCCTGATTTCACTGCTGTCAAATTCTTTGCTTCTTTGATGAACACTTCTAGTATTCCTCCAGAGATTACAGATGACTCCTTTTTCTTTCCCTTTTTGGAGGCTTTTTTTCCTGCATCAGCCATCAAAATGAGACACACACACAGAGAGAGAGAGAGAGAGAGAGAGAGAGACAGAGAGACAGAGAGAGACAGAGAGACAGAGACAGAGACAGAGAGACAGAGACAGAGAAAGAATATTTATATTATGAATTCTACTTTAAAATTTACAAAACACATCTGCAAAGATTTACTTCATTTGCTGAGTGAATCAGACCTTTACATTACTGTATATTTCATATTCTTTTATCTGTTTTAACCCCCACTGGATTTCTTCTGGATAGATTTTTCATGTGTGTTTGTTGACAAAAATGGGTAAGTAAACTTAAAATTCTAACCACTCCCCTATAGAATATGTCTTTTACAGGGTCTAAAGGTATGTAATGGAAAAGACCCTGAAAGCTGCCTAGGCCACTATTCCTGCTCTTAGTGAGAAATAATTATCATGAAAGTCAGACACAATCTGTCAAGGCTACAAAAGACAAAATTCCATAACTTTCTTCTTTGATAGTTTTTTTTTTTTTTTTTCCAGTACCGGGAACCGAACTCACTACCTTGCGCTTGCCAGGCAGGCGCTTTGCCGCTGAGCTAAATCCCCAGCCCCCTCTTTGATAGTTTGAACCGACTCCCAGAAGAAAATTCCGTAACTCCCTCTTGTAAATCATCAACTCCAGACTGGGTGAGTACTGAAGATGAGAGAAAACTCCTTCCTGCCATAGCCTATTATTCTAGTGAAATATGATCAATAACATAACAAGCACCACCTTTACTTAGTACTGATTTACAAATATGAACCTTACATATATGAACTTATTTAATCCTCACAGCAACTCTTTGGAGTGAGGAAACTGAGGCCAGGTGACACTGAAGACAGCAATCATGATGGGGGGATAAAGGAGGTTACCTGGGGGAGTTGGTGGAAGGGAGGGGCAAGAAAGATTTACAGCTTGATTCCATCTAGATTTTTTCTTTGAATTCTCTGTTTTGCATCAGCCTTTTCCTCAAGACTCTTTGAGTAGCTATAAAAGACATATATCCATACAGCAGCTTCCTACACCCTTCCCAGAAGATCTCCCACCCTGTGGAAGATCTTATATCTCTGGGACTGGCAGGAAACAAACTTTGGCAGAAAGGCTAGCTTCTAAGACATGAGCTTTGGCTCTGTTTCCCTTGTATGAAACACATACCCTTCTATCTATGCAGTATATATTTTTCAACCCTCCTCAAAAGACAGTGACACCTAGTCCTTTATGTTTCATCTGTTTAGTACAAAAGTAATATTTAGTCTAACCAATCCCTAATAGCTACCCCCATACTCATAGAAATAGAGCATCAGTGATCAGTGGCATGGAGTTTTTCTCTACCTTGAAGTTGTCCTAGTGGAAGCATGGCACTTTCCTCTGGAGGAATGTATCGTAAAACAACAGTCAGCTCTCCTTTGTACTGAAGGCCAATATCAGGAGCAAATTCCACCTGGCGAAGAAGAGACAGGTGAAAAGAAAATGTAAGAATGCCTGAATTAGTATTTCACAACCCATTTTTGAATGTGCAATAATTATTTGGTGGCTTAAATGTGATGATCCATTCCCATTCAACTACATGATTTCTTACTACTTTGAGATGATTTGGACATAAAAAAAAGAAAGATGGGCAAGCTCTATTAAGACAGCTGCATATAACTTTCAAGAAAGGAAAAGGAATCTGAAAGGTGATATATAACACTCATTTTGTCTATGAACTGATACTGAGTGTCTATGACACATTGAGGACTGACCCAGATATACCACAGAGCATGAGGCAGGAATAACGATACCACTGAAAATAGTCCCAGAAGTTGCTTCTCCCTGTTTGATGTCTCAAAGCTTTCCTAAGTGAGCAAGAAGGGAAAAGCATGGAGTCATAGATGATTCATGATTGACTTCCAGCCAAAAGTCATTGAAGGCAATTGATAATTTGCAACAAAATTCATAAAGAGAAACAGGGTTCACTTGAATCTCACTTGTAGGGGTGTACAATGGTGCAGCCACTCTGGAAACAGTTTCTTATAAGATTAAACATGCAGCTGCTAAAAAACCCAGAATTTATACTTGTGCATTAATTCTAGATGAATAAAAAATTATGTCCATGTAAAATTTGGATGCTAATATAATATTCATATTAGTGCTATTTTTAATAACAAGCATACCAGAAACAGCCTAAATATCCTTTAACAGGTGAATGGTTAAACAAACTGTGGTACATCCATACCATGAACTATTAAGCAGCCATGAAAAGCAAAAGACTATTGATACATGCAACAACTTGGATGAGTCTATAGAGAATTATTCTTAATGAAGAAAACCAGTCCCAAAGGGTTTTATTTACCTAACACTCTTGAAATGACAAAACTGTAGAGATGGAGAACAGGTTAGTGGTTGCCAGGGGCTAGGAATGGGGGCACTGGGAGGCAGGGATGTGGTTCAGCAGGTCAACCTGAGGGATAAGCATGGTGATGGAATTGTCCTGTATTTTGATTGTGGTAGGAAATATACACAAACTCACACACATCATAAAATTGCATAGAACTAAATATACACATCAACTTGTGCACATACTCACAAATAAGTAATAGTAAAACTGGGAAATCTGACTAAAATTGATAGATCACCTCAATGTCAGTATCTTAGTGGTGATATCATACTATATCTTTGCAATATGTTACCACTGGGGAATGGAGTAATGGGTACATGTGACCTTTTTGCATTATCCAAGTGTGTGTAGAGTTACAATGATCCCAAAATAAAAAGTTCAAAATTTACAAGTCAATCTTCACATACATCCACAGCATCTGTTCTGGAAGTCTCCCTCTTGCCATGGAGTCAACTGAACTTTGATTTTGTATAGATGGAACAGAAAATGTAGGGTACTGCCGCAGGCCTTTCCCTGGAAGACTTAACTTTGTGCAAGTTGAATCAAAGGCAGAGAACTGCTCTCCTCAGAGACAGGGCAGCTGAAAAGTTCAGAAACACTTGAACACTTGAGGTATTTTATTTAACCATCTTTGTTTCATTTTAGAAACCTTCCTGTTTCATTTTAGTTTCTCAAAAAATTAAAAATAAAATCACCCATTGTTGTACACCTATAATTGCAACAGTCTGGCAGTCTAACGTGGGAGGATAGCAAATTCAAACCTGTCCAGACAAATTAATGAGACCCTTCTAAAAAAAATCCATTTCACATTTTTATTGCTTTTGTGTTGTTTTGTTTTTGTCTTGGTTGTTGTTATTTTGTTATTTTTTCTCTTTAAAAAAAAAACCAGGCATCATGGCACATGCCTATAATCACAACAAATTGGAAGGCTGAAGCAGGTGGATCACATATTTGAGCCTCGCCTGTGCCATGTAGCAACTTAGAAATTCCCCATATCAGAATGATAAAAAAAGGAGGAGGGTTGGGAATGTAGGTCAGTGTGAAGGAATGGGATTTATCTCCAATACTGACAAAAAAATTAAATATAGAACTACCACATGACACAGCAATCCCTCTACCAGGTATATAGAGTAAGTCCCCAACTTACAAATGAGTTCTGCTCCTGGATAATGTTTGTAAGTTGGATTTGTTCACAAGTCTGACAAGGTGAGTCTTATATATCTTTGACATGAATATACAATACATTTTGTTTTGTGCTTCCTAGTAAGCAGCTCCACATCATCACTGCTTTTCCTCTTGCTTCTGGACATCCTGGGCTCTGATTGAGCCCGGTTCTGTTGTACACAATCACACTGCTCAGTAGGCACACAGCATCACAACTATGATGATATCTGGCAGACACGTGAGCTACTTCTGTGATTTGTTTGTATCTATGAATATTCTTAATGCAAGGTGTGTTCATACCTGTGAAAATTCGCAATTCCAATGTTCTTAAATTGGGGACTTAATGTATGAAAAAGAAATGATATCTGTATATATTGAAAACACAACTACAATCCCGTATTTTTTGCAACACTACTGTAAAAGGGATGGGCCCAGGATACAGTCAGCTAGATACAAAGAAACCAGCACATGCACTGAATTAAGAGCTCAACTTAGAAAGATAAAAACAAACACAGGAAAAAGGATAAAAAGTTAGGATAAAAATAGGCAGATAAGGAATTTTCCCAAGAAGAAGCTTCTCAGGCAGCATATGCTAAGTTACATGACAGTTCCTCCCTACTTCTGGGCTGGACTTTAAGGAACAATAAAAATGCAAAATAACAAGTCTAACCAGCTAAGTAACTAACTTTATTCAACTCTATACTACAAAGACCCCCACATTCTGCTTGTCTGCATAAGACTAAGATAAAACACACTGGCAAACTTCACTTTTGGAGTTCCCTCCTGGACCCCCACCAGGAGCTATTTCTCTTCTTACTTTCAATAAATACTCTTTTGACTTTTTCCTTGTGTTCATGATTTCATTCTTTGACTCCACAAGACAAGGAGCTCGGGTCACCGATTTGTGCAGAATTTATTGTTTCATATTTGGATGTCCCAATGTTATAGACAGCTAAGTTAGATAGAAATATTGTAGGCAGTCAGACAGGCCTAGGCCCTTGAAGGAGCCAGTGCAGAAGACGAGATACATTGCAACTGTGGGGGAGATACAGACACACCGTCGATACAGACCTCAAGACACAAGATGAAAGGAATGCACCCACAAACCTACACTAAGGGTAAAAATCAGTGATTGATGTTCCGCATAGGTACTCATCACCTTGGGAAAGAAGGACCTCAGTGTCAGAACTTGGAGTGTTAAAACAGCAGACTAGAAAAGAAATTAGAAAGGCACACATAGCAGCCCTCCACTGATCCATTTCCTGTGACTGCTGGCTTCCAGTCTCTTTCTCTCAGCTAAATTGCCTGAGCTGGAAGACTACTGAGTGTGTAAGTTTTCCATCTCTTTAGGTGATGAGTTCCCCCCTCTCTGTCACTATACAGTTTTCAGTTCACAACTGTCTCTCTCTAGTTGTCTTGCTTGCTCATCTGGCCTGACCTTATCAATCAGACAGTGGCCCTAGCACTATGGTGCCCCCAGAATGAAGCTAGAGTTCTCTTTCACAGGTTGGAGATCCCCTTTATGTGGAGATTGTCTCAAGAGAGGCATGCATGCATCTCACGGGTCCCTCTGGGATGGGCAGTCTGTCACCCTAAGGAATGCCTGTTGGGTAAATATAATATCTCCATACGACCCACTATGGGTTTCACATCTCCTATTCCCTCTGCCTGGCTTCAGTGTGGGTCACCAGATAAAAAAGTTTACTCCTTTAGTGGAGGGCTGGTATGTGTGCCTTTCTAAATTCTTTTCTAGTCTGCTGTTTTAACACTCCAAGTTCTGACGCTGAGGTCCTTCTTTCCTTATGACTCTTATTGGTATAACTTATAGCATGGTATCTCTGCTATGACTCACCTAAAAAGTGCTATGACAATCCTAGGGAAAGTTCTAACCAGTGTATATATAGTTATAAACCTAAAGCTATGAAAAAGATTATTATAGTTTAGCATGGACAATGCATCTAAGAGTGCACTCATTAAATGTGAGTGTTTTACGTGCTCTATATGTTTTCTTGTCTGTTTCTCTGTCTGTTAAGCTCTTATTAACTGGTCAGTGTGCATACAGCTGCTTCATTAAAATTTTTTTGAGCTCATATCAATTTCATTTTTCTTTTTTGTTTTTGCCCATGTGCATTTCTGGCTCTTTGAGCATTTTCCACGGGAAACATGTTGTGTAGGTTTTAAGGGGTAGTGAAATTCAAAACATTACAGGTAGGGGCTGATAGGCTCGAGGCTTATGTGGGATTTCCAAAGGAAAGTCTTCAGTTTGACCACATAAAAGTTATGCATGATTGGTAAATACATGTACTTCTCTATGTTAACTTTCAAGCATACATTGTCCTCTAAAGGTTTCACTTAAATTGGCTTATGGGCAGTTGAGATGAATACACACTTTTCAGATAAAGAAATACAAATGGCAAATAAACACATGAGAAAATGTTCAACATCATTAGTCATTTGAGAAATGCAAATTAAAACAACATTGAGATTCCACCTTACCCCAGTAAGGATGGCTAGCATTAAGAAATCAACCAATAACAAATGATGGCGAGGCTGTGGAGAAATAGGAACACTTCTCCACTGCTTGTGGGAATGCAGACTGGTGAAACCATTGTGGAAATCAGTTTGGAGATTCCTCAGAAAACTAGGTCTAGAGGTCTCATTCAACCCAGCTATCTCCCGGCTGGGTATTTTCCCAGAAGATTTAAAAACATCATATCACAGTGATATCTGTGCACCTATGTTCATAGCAGTGCAATTTGTAATTGCTAAATTGTGGAAGCAACCCATATGTCCATCCACTGAGGGATGGATAAAAAAATTGTGGTACTTTTATATAATGGAATATTACACAGCTATAAAGAAAGACAAACTCTATGCTTTTACAGGTAAATGGTCACAAC